GTAATGCCAAAGCATGGTTCCAAATTAGTCACTTGCTACAATTTAAAAATACTTCACTTCAATATTTTGCTTCAACACAGTGATTTTACCATACTTCCTCAGCTTTCTCTGACAGTGTCTTCATATGAAGATTCACAGAGAAGTTGAGAATCAAATCTAAAAACGCCCCCAGATGTAGCAGTCTGTTTTAGACCAGGAATGTTTGTCCAGCTTCTCCTTTCTATAATATTCCTCTCCTCGTGTCTGAGTAATAAGTAAAAAATTCTTAAAGAATAAAGCACACGGGGCCGGCCCGGTGGCGCAAGCGGTTGGGTGCACACGATCCGCTGCGATGGCCCGAGGTTCGCTGGTTCGGATCCGGGCATGTGCCGACGCACCGCTTGGCAAGCCATGCTGTGGCGGTGTCCCATATAAAGTGGAGGAAGATGGGCCGGTCTTCCTCAGCAAAAAAAAAAAAAGAGGAGGATTGGCAGATTTTAGCACAGGGCTGATCTTCCTCACACACACACAACAAAAGAATAAAGCACAGCTACAAGACTGCAAAAATACATTATTTTAAAAGAGAGAGAAGGCAAGTCAGTCATACTCATCTCTCCAAATGACACTTTCTAAGGGGAAGCCTCAGCCCGTGCTGGTTCTACCACAGCCGGGGTTAACTGGCTGCCTTCACGATGCCTCGAGGAAGTATACAATTTTGTTTGGGATCAACTCAACTTAGATCGCTCGTGATTCCTTTAAATAAATTAAAACAAGCAATTGTTCACATACAAGAGCTTTAGTCACCCTGACGTTTAAAAACAGGTTTATTACATAAAAGCGGACTAATCCAGATCATCTCTAAAATTTCTAGCATAATTCCCCAACACTGTGAATTTCAAGAACTAACAATATCATTCTATATATCATACTTAAATAAGCCAGATTTCTTTCTAAAGGATCTCTTCTTCACCCATCACATAACAAGTTATTTTGAGTAACAGATTTTTTTTAAATCCAGTAAGTTCTATGAATTCCATGACAAGCAGTTACCACTTTGAGTTCCTTCTCTGAGGCCATACCACCCACCATTAGCCAATTCTATGATAACCCACCAAATTTACCAAGAAATCCGAAGCAATGAAGAACTCTACCTTGCCCAGTGCCTAAACTGTAGCAGCCGTGGCATACCACCATGACACACCACCGTGACACTGCCTCACCCTCCTAACGACCCTTAGGTAAATATTATCATCATCCTTCTTTAATAGGTGAGTTCTAAGAAGCTAGAAGAGGTCAAGTAACTGGCCCAAGGTCTTAAAGCTATTGAAGTGGCAGAAGAAGGCCTCACACCCAGACTGACTCCAAAGTCCAAGTTCTGTCTATAACACCTGCTCCTCCTGTGATTGGCTTGTGCCTTTTATTCCCAATAGACTGAAAAGTTAGATTCTTTTATTTTCTGGTGAGGAAGATCGGCCCTGAGCTAACATCAGGGCCACTCTTCCTCTATTTTGTATGTGGGATGCCACCACAGCATGGTTTGATGAGCGGGGCGTAGGTACAGCCGACAGTGGACACAGAGGGCCCAAGAACTCTCTAAATTTCAATAGAATTGCATGAACAGACAGCACATTGATATCAGCAAATATGTAGGGATTTGATAACTTCAATGCTGATCAGCTACAAAACTGCTAGACAGACTTCCTATGACTGTGCAAATGAGCATATTTAGTTAACCCAAAAATATCTCCAACTGAAGGCAATTACAGCCTTCCCAACCTAGATCAAATCTCAAGACTTATAGCCATAGGTCCTGAAATAATGTATACGGAAAGCCTGTTGAAAATAATTTTTATTTCTCAGAGGCTGCTAAAACAAACAGAAAAACTCACACTTTAGAAAGCACTTCCCTTACTTCAGAAATCTTTTTCAAGATACAAGACTGTTTGTTTAATCTAAAACAAGAGCCTCGGTTTCACAAGCTGCTGTTTAATCAGTAGCTGAGTCCCACCGGCTTCACGGACTTCCGTGAGGTCCTTTATCTGGAACTGCTAACAAGCTTCCTCTGTACTCTGTGACCTAATATAGCACAGAACAATAGAAGTGAGTTTCCTTGCCTAACCACTATCCTAATATTAATAACAAACTGTAGATTTAGAGGAATGCCTTCACACATACAAGTACAAGATCTTTATGATGTGAATCCTGAGAATCTTACAAAAGGTACAACATACATGTTTTTCAAGAGAAGAATGATCTGATAACTACCATCTGGAGAAAAGAATTTCTTAACTGTAACCTTAGTTTGGCAATTTAACTGTGCATGAAAACAGTGGACTTTCTCCCTTTACGTAAGCTTCCTAGTGAGGATCTCAGGATCTCAGTCTATGTAATAGAGGCCCCCGCAGAAATACAGATTCTCAGGGAAAGGGGGCTCCCAGAGAGGATGGAAGGGGCTCCCAGAGCCATAAAGAGAGGCCTGAAATAAAGTTCAACCAAGAAATGCTTTCTTGCCTGATGGGCAAAGGCAATCCACATATTTACAAAGCTTCATTATGACTGAATGGATAAACATCTTTTCCAACTTCTGAACCTAGAAATGATTTTGGATGACAAAGAAACCTTGGAAAATGAACTTCAATTTAAATGCTGAATTTTAATTAACTGCCTCACTTGTTTCCCCATGCAAATGGGCTGACAAAGGATAAAATTCAAGTATTTTTTTCCAACCTATTTTTGATAAGCCATGCTTTCTCCAAGGCAGTATTAACCAGTTTGAACTTTAAGTAGAAAGAATAAGGCCAAGGAGGCAAAAGTCTCTACGCAATGGGTCTAGCATTGATTTGAAAATGGCCAGCCCTACCTTCATATAGAGTACAGGCCCCCAGTAACCAAAAGCTTGAGAATTACTATGTTTTCAATATTTAACAACTCGTTTATCTACCATACATGTCAAGAAAAGTTCCTCTTTCTTAACCAGTGAGATCACTTATCAGGATTAGCTTAAAAGTTTCTTTATTCTTCTTGGTCTAGTACATCTTGGTCAAGAATATACCTCAGTTACCAGGATTTATCATCTCTTTTGGATAGAAAGACAAACCCCCAAATCTACGTGTGATTGTGTGTCTTTTCCACAGAATTTAACCCTAGGTACCTGTCTACATATGCTACATGTCTAACCATACAGTCTCCAAGCAACAGAACATGAAGGGAAAATCTGCAAAAGCTGCTATAAAATTACCAAATATTTCCTTATGCTTTATGTCACGATTTGATATTTCTATTTACGGATTAATTTTCCTGATTGCTTTGTTTTATAACACACCAAAAAAAATTTAGATTTTATGATTCATACCTCCATAAAACAGTAAAAGAATGGAATTAAAAATATGTTAAGAGGTTTACAGGCAGACACATTTCCATAGGTTCCCAGACAGAACCTGCTTTTCAAAACATAAAAATGCTATTAAGTGCAAAGTCATCTGGAAACTTCTTGAATCTGTTTCACATAAATTCTCTTTATCCACTACCCTTCTCTAGCGCTAATTTTCAATTTCACCACCAGTATCTTTCAACATCAATATCAACACATTTCCATATAGTCTTTTATAACTTCCCAGGTACTTTCTGTGACTCTTACCTTGGCTGCCTATACATTTCTAATAATATTCACTCTTCTTTTCTATCAGATCAGAAAACAGAATTCACCTTACACATATTTGATCTAAGGCAGTGGCAGAAATTTACCAATACATTATATATTACAATGATAACTGTAATACTCAACTAAAGGGTACTCAGTGACATAACCTGGTGTAGCTCTGAAAACAATTATATATAGTTTTCCTTGTAGATGTGTTTGCAAAATATGTTCCTACTGGGGACAGTAACTTCCACATTCTGTATCCAATTAACATCATTCTAAAATAACTCTTGACCTCAAGAGTATTCCTAAACAGTTACAAGACTTGAAGTGGTGAAGTAGAAAAATCGCACAACTACCAGAATTAAGACCAGTGTTTTAGTTGTGGCTCCACCTACAAGTTAGCTCTGTCACCTTAGGTAGGTCATTTGACCCCAGGGTCTCAGTGTCTTCAACTGCAAAACGAAGAATTTAGACTCCATTTTTTTTAAAGTCTCTTCCACCTCGAAAATTCCATCAATCTATGAAATTTCAGTCTCCCCTCATTTCAAAGATAAGCAGCAGATGACAATGGCAAATTAGCCTAGATTTTTTTTTCCCTTCAAAAAAAATGACCCAACTTGGGATGCTTTCCTGGGTTGAAGTTTTACCTAGGAAAATAAACCACAAATGAAAATGACGTCGAGAAAATGGAGAGAAAAAAAGAAAATCACACACTGATGTAGCTAAAATAGAAACTTCAATCACCGTTGGGCCATTTTGTCAATAGTTATTCAAAGGCTGCTGCTCTAATCACTGGCTTCCCAAAATAGAAATATTTATAGTCGTTTCCTTCTCATTCCCACAGATTCAATGCGAAAAAAAAGCACAGCGTCTAAAATCAATTTACAACTTCAGAACAAGTTGCAGGGAGCGAAGGAAACTCCGCACAGCTCTCCAAGTCATTTGCATTTGAGTCTGATTAGGGCTAAGCAACGGTACTTATTATAAGATGTGAGAAACGCACAGCAGGCAGGTGACATCTGGAAAGGGAAGCAGAACTGCCAGGAAGGGATGTAGGCTGAGGACCTTCACGCAACAGGTCCAGAGCCGGTACCGCAGCCTACCCCGCGAGGGGTCGGTCGTGCCACTCTGGTCGCCGCCCTCCCCATCCCCAACCGCCTCGCCTCGCCCCCGCTTCGGCCCTCGAGAGGCAGCACCCCCCCACCCCCCAACACGCCCCTGCAGCAGAAACCTTCCTAAGCGCTCGTTTCCCCGGGCCTCCCGCCCCGGCAGGCCCTCCGATTCCTCGGCGCCGAGGCCGGACCGGGCCTGCCGCCTCCTCCCAGCCACCCCCGTCGCAGCGGCTCCGCAGCCCCGTCCCCGCCGTGGGCCCGCTCACCTGCACCTGTTTGCGGAAGTGGCGCGGCCCCGGCACTGCCGGCAGCCAGGAGTAGTAGCAACAACAGCAACGCCGGCGGCCCCGGCATCTCGCTCACAGCGCGGCCCCGAGGCCGGCTCTCAGGTCGCCTTCCGTCCGTCCGTCCGTCCGTCCGTCCGTCCGTCCGTCCGTCGGTCTTGCCTCCCTCAGCTGCCTCAGCGGCACGCGCGCCGGCTGCTCCTGAGCACACGTCGCTTCGGCCAAACCTCAGCCCGGCTCCTGATCCGCACCCGCCGCTCTGGCCACAGAAACACCATCCTTCCCGCCCGCCGCCTGCGCCGCCGCCGCCTCTCAACAGCAACAACGGCAGCTACCCTGCGGAGCCGCGGCCCCGGGCAGCCGCGCTCCCGTCGCCATGATGGGCTGCGTCATGTGACGTAGGGCGGGGGGCGGGACGCCGTGATAGACAGCCCAGCCAGCCAATAGTCAGTTCCACACCGGCTCGAGTGGCCCCGCCCATCACCCTGTCGGAGGAAGGGTGCGCCCCCTGCAGACGGAGGAGTGCGAGGGCAGCAGGTAATGCCGACAATTATTTTAAATTTAAAAATACAGGGAAGTATAAGGAAGACAATAAAAGGCATCCAGAATCCATCCTGAATTCTCTTCTCAGTATTTTAAAACGTGTAAAAATAGGCCTGTTTTGTGTTCTGCCTTTTTTACTTGTCATAGGCGTTTTAGGCTCTTCTCCTTAGGTTGACCTCCACAGCCTATCAGCCATCAAGGAGCTTTGGGCTTTTTATTTCAATTCAGCAAGAATAGAATGTCTCTCCCCTCGCACCCATTGACTCAGCTCCTGAGCTCTAGATGCTCTCTTGGCCAAGTGTGCCCTTCCTGTTCTGTCTTGGCCACCTGGCACACTTCCTTTCCTCTGTCAAGACTCACCTGAAGGATGACGTCATTTAAGAAGGCCCCTCCCAACCCCAGGAGAAATAACTAGCATCCCCTAGTGCCCCGCCCGGGCCCTGGACAGACAGCTGCCCTAGCTGCCATATTTTATTGTTCCTGTGACTGTAAGCCTTCCTGAGGACAGGAACTGTGCCCGTGTCAGCTGAGGGTCCCCAGGGGTTGGCGCAGGGTCTGACTCCGAGGAGGCATTCTCTAAAGGAATGGTGCCTAGTCCTGGTCCTGCGTGCCAGGGAAGAGCAGCTCCCAGGTGCTGACCCCTCCCCACCAGGATCAATGCGCAGCCAACAGGTGAGAAGAGACCATAGTCCTGTAGAAGGGGTAGAAAACACTTTCCAGGTGGGAGTAACATAGTGATCAGAGACCTGGAGGTTGGGAAAATGCTGGCTTTTCTGGAGAACTCATTTGTAGTCCAGTTTGGGTGTGAGAGGAACTGATTTGAATCTTATCAGATGCGGCTCTACCAACTGGCCACAGGGGTGCCTCCCCAGTTCTCGAAATTCCTCAAATGTCCATGCTAAAAGCCAGCTCTCTGCGGTGCTAACCCAGTGCTGGACACACAGACGATGCCCAGGGAATATTTGTTGAATGATTAAGGCAAGCCAATAAACACCTAAGTAAACACATAGCTGGAATGTGAAATGCTGAGTTAAAGCATCCATGGCTGTCTGCTGATCTCTATGTGGGAAAGGGAAGGAAGGCAAAGGTCTAAAAAAGAGACAATCACCTCCTTGTGTTCTACTTCTATCAGGAAGCTCCAGACTCTGAGTTTGAGGAAGCCAGAGAATGCTCACGCTGTGTACCGGGAGGAGTCACTGTGTTTGCAGCAGTGTCAGCCCAACCAAGGCCCTGCCTCATAATCTTTGTGGTTATTAATCATAATTAAAGTGCACCCCAACAACAACACATCAGACCACAACCGCAAAGCAGGTTTCATTATTATTTGAGCAAGTCCAAAAGTTTTAAGAAACTTTTTTTTTCCACTTCACAGAGCAGGGGTTAAGGTACACATTCCTCAGGGGGTGTCTAATGGAAACCTTTAAACTACCACCCACCTCACCACTCACACCTTTGCCCAGTGCTTCCCTTGAAGACTTCTAGTTAGAGAATTTATAAGACAAATGAAAACCTATTTCCTTTCTTTAGTTTCACCTAGGAATCAGAAAACAGCCTTTGGCACAATTTGGGATTAGATCCCTAAGATTAGAAGCAATATCTTTCAGTGTTCCTATAGCCATTCTCACCTGTGCTCAGCCTTTTTCAATTTTTCTTCCATGCCAAGCCATCACTTGAACAATGCTACTGGCATTGTCTGTCCTGCCAGCAAGCTCTGGCTGAGGGCTGGATGCTAAGGGATGTGGAGTCAGTTTAGTACTGGGTGAGCATGCATCTTTGAAGGTCTGGTACCCACTGGGTACTCTAAATGTTTGCAGGGCTGAGTTGGATCAAATGGCTGCATCCATGAGGGTCCTGTCAGTGGTATACTGGAGCCAGCTGGTACCAGCTCATGAAAGCCAATTGTTAAATCTTCAGGAATTTTGCATGCCAGTTGTTAGACAAAGCCATTGTTTAAAATTAATTTATATAAACTTGCAATTAAATGAATTATATTAAAAACAAAGGTGATAAGGAGAAGCATTTCCAGAAAGGAAAGCAATGAGAACACTGGCAAAAATTGCCAAAATCAACTTCTTCAGAACTCTAGAAATTAGCCAAAGGTTTGCAACAACACAAGGAGCATTTAGTAAAGAAAAATGGCTGAATCTCAGTAAGTACTGTGAGCTTTGTGGCATTTTCACTTGCTGTATTCTCATTCTTCTTTCCCTATCTCCATGGTAGCCTTGAAAAACAGCAGCCTCACAACCACAATAGCTGTGAAAATGAGCAGCCTAGCAGCCAGTGGAGGGGACAGAACAGGTTTGGTGCTCCCCCTAAAGCTACATCTCCAGAGAACTTTCACTTTGACCTGTCAGGCAGCTCCCTAGAAAGACACCATTCACAAGATTTGTCTTTATTTGACATGACTCAAAACTGTCTTAGTGTTAACATATCCCCAGTTTGTTGAAAATAATCAGTGGCAATTGTTTAACATTGCAGCTTCCTGAGCCAATGATATCAGTTGGCTGATTGAAAACTTAAAAGAAAAATTTAGGGACTGATGTGTCAGTGGGGGCTTTGAAAAGCTCCAACATATTCCTGGAAATCTAGAAAACCATGCGCATGGGCTGGTTTTCTGTACCATGGGGTACAGGGCTGTGCACATGCCCAGGAAAGACATGAGAAGCCCCAAATCGCTCATCCCTGGCTGATGTTGAAGCTCTGTACAAGCAGGAAGTGAAGGCTGGGGCAGAATTTTTTTTTTGGGGGGGGAGGAAGATCAGCCCTGAGCTAACATCCATGCCAATCCTTCTCTTTTTTTTGCCAAGGAAGACTGGCTGTGGGCTAACATCTCTGCCCACCTACCTCCACTTTATATGGGATGCCGCCACAGCATGGCCTGACAAGCAGTGCATCGGTGTGCGCCTGGGATGCGAACCCGGGCTGCCAGCAGCAGAGTGTGCACACTTAACCGCTACGCCACGGGGCCGGCCCCTGGAATTTATTTTTTTATTTATTTTCTCTGAGGAAGAGTCACCCTGAGCTAAGAACTGTTGCCAATCTTCCTCTTTTGTTGCTTGAGGAAGATTAGCCCTGAGCTAACATCTGTGCCAATCTTCCTCTACTTTGTATGTGGGTTGCCGCCACAGCATGGTTCATAAGTGGTGTAGGTCTGCGCCCGGGATCTGAACCCATGAACCTAGGCTGCCGAAGCAGAGCAGTGAACTTAACAACCACACCATGGGGCCGGCCCCCTGGGGCAGAATTTTAAACTGTGGAGCATTGAAGGCATGCCTCAAGACATGTACAGAGACTCTTAGCAAAACTGGGGAGACACATTGGTTCAAAAGATTTAAAGAAATCTCTGTACAATTATTAGCTGACCATTAAGCTAGCTGAACAGAGACTTCAGTGGCCACACACAATTAAAAATGCAGACTTCACAGAATTAGTCCAGGAAAGTCACTAAGCAAATGAGTGGTGGCAGCAGCAACCAACAGCAACAACAAAATAAGTCTTGGGGAAGGGCGATATCAGGGAAAACTGGTTTCCAGAGTTGCCACACTATATGATTTAAAATGTCCAGTTTTCAAAAAAACAATTGCAAGACATGCAAAGAAATAGGAAAGTCTGCTCCATACACAGGATAAAAAAGCAGCAAGTAAAAACTTTCCCTGAGGAAGCTGAGAAGGTGGCTTTAATAAACAAAATTTATAAGTAAATAAAAACCTATGAAATTTTAAAACAGAAAAACAAAAATTATAAATAAATCAGCTAAATATGTTCAAAGAACTAAAGGCAATCATGTCTAAATAATTAAAGATTGGTTGAAAGACATTAAAGAAGACCTGAATAAATGGAAAGACATCCCATGTTCATGGATCAGAAGATTTAATATTGTTAATAAAGCAATCCTCCCCAATTGATCTACAGATTCAAAGCAATCCCCCTCAAATTCCAGCTGAGAAGCTGATCCTAACATTCATATGAAAATTCAAGAGACCCCAAATAGTCAAAACAATCTTGGAAAAAAGAACAAAGTTGAAGGACTTACACTTTCTGATTACAAAGCTACAGTAATCAAAACAATGTGATACTGGCGTAAGAATAGACATATACAACAAACAATATAATTGAGAATTTATAAATAAACCTAAATATTTACAGTCAACTGATATTCAACAAGGGTGCCTAGACAATTCAATGGGAAATATTAGTTTCTCAACAAATAGTGCTGGGACAATCCACATGGAAAGAATGGAGATGAACCCCTCACACCATATACATTTTGACTCAAAATGGATCAAAGACCTAAATGTAAGAGTTAAAACTATAAAACTCTTAGAAGAAAACATAGGCATAAATCTTCATGACCTTGGCAATAGTTTTGTAGCTTTGTACACCAAAAGCACAAGTGACCAAAAAAAAAAAAGACAAATTGGGCTTCATCAAAATGAAAAACTTTGTGCTTCAAAGAATATCATCAAGAAAGTGAAAAGACAACCCACAGAATGGGAGAAAATATGTTTGAAGCATATGTCTGATAAGGTACTTGTAGCCATAAAATATAAAGAACCCTTATAATTCAATGATAAGAAGAGAGAGAATCCAATTAAAAAGTGGGCAAAAGATATGAATAGACGTTTCTCCAGAGATATGCAAAATGGACAATAAACAAATGAAAAGATGCTCAACATCATTAGGTATCGAGGAAATGCAAATCAACACCACTTCATACACACTAAGATGGCTCTAATCAAAAAGACAGATAATCATAAGTGTTGGTGAGACTGTCTAGAAATTGGAATCCCCGTACACTGCTGATGGGAATGTAAAATGGTGCAGCCACTTTGGAAAATAGTCTGACAGTT